GGAGTCCCTGTGATGTGTTTTATGAAACTGTATTTCTCTGTCTGTGATAATTAGATTACCCATTGTGTAAGGTAATTTTATCACAGGTAGAGGGGAGGATTTTGTGTGGGACTGTCTGTGTGTATTGTACAGATTGATTGGTTGTTCTGTAAAACCCTGTGGGCAGTACTAAATTTGTGGATTGGGAATAAAAGGGGCTGTATGTGCCAGTACAGTCAGTTCATGCTTAACCCTCAAAGTGAAGTGTCGTCTCATTATTGGGGGAGGATTTATTGTATGCTGTTCCAGTTTGACTGCTAGGAGTGTAAACCTATTCGCATGGTTTTTCCTATTCGTCTGTATACAACATTCATATGCTTGAGAGCATTCATATGCTTCTTCGGTTCGGTGGTTGTGGTGTCTGCTGCAGTGCTTGGAGTCCTCAGGAAGCGCTAGGAGCATCCTTCAACAGAGGTACCCAGTCGGTGATCCGTTACACACTACTCCATCCTTCTGGACCATCCAGGGTCGCATGGCACTCATCAGTGAACAGGACTGTTTGAAAATTAGTCTTCGTGTATTTTTCTGCCCAATGCAGCTCTTTCTGCTTGTGAGCATTGGTTAGTGGTGGCCGAACAGAAGGTTTATGCACAGTTCCAAGACTCTGGAGGACTCTACACCTTGATGTCCGTGGGACTCCAGAGGCACCAGCAGCTTCAAATATCTGTTTACTGCTATGTAATGGTATTTTAGCAGCTGCTCTCTTGATCTGATGCATGGATCTGGCAGAAATCTTCCTCAATGTGCCTTTATCTGCACGAACCAGTCTGTGCTCTGAATCAGCCACAAATCTCTTAATAGTGCGATGATCACGCTTAAGTTTTCATGAAATATCTAATGTTTTCATACCTCGTCCAAGGCATTGAACTATTTCACTCTTTTCGGCAGCAGAGAGATCCTTTTTCTTCCCCATATTGCATGAAAATGGTGCTCTGCTTAATAATGTGAAACACCCTCCTTTAGTAGTTTTTCCTTAAATCGGGTTCACCTGGCAATCTAATTATCACAGGTGTCCTAGATTATTTTCAGTGATCAAAAGAGCCCTGAGACACAATGCCATCAATGAGTTAAACTGAAAAACAAAATATTTAATCTTTGTGACACTTAAATAGAATTTGCATAATAATTTGGATCAGGGTGTAGTAATACTTTAGAAAATGTTATGGCATCCTGTAAGCATGCTATGAAATTGCCCATGGGATATCAGTCAGTTCACACAATGCTGACTACTCTCAGTCCTTTGCAACTGGCCATGCAGGACGATATGAGTACATCTGGACCGTTGTCACCGGGTTCTCTGGTCTCAATGGGTTTCCACACCATTTACCCAGAGAATGCAGGAGGGAACTTGTGGTTCTCCTCCAATGTCAAGGAGTATCTGGCAGATGAAATTGAGAGGTGAGGAGATACAGGTGGTGGGAGAGCGTGAACCAATGTACTTGAGCACAGAATGGAAAGTGTGGTCATGGCGCATAATGGTGTGGCTACCCTAACAAGCTCTCTGGTTAATCTGATCACTGAGCTTGAAGCGGCCAGTGAATATTTATATAGCAGAGCTTGCTAAAATAATATACAAATTAGGTACCTGCCCAAGAATGTTAGGAGGCTGCACTCTATGTGCATATATTTAGGGCTAGCCTCCCTGATATCATGGATCATCTTTGGCATGTGGTCAGTGTTCATCAGCCTTAAATGCCCGTGGAAATAACACCAGCTCCAGGATATCATCATGTGGTTCCACTTCCTCTAGACTAAGGATGCCATCATGAGGGCTATCAGGGCTTTCCCCTTTTCATATAAAGGGTTTTCCAGGACCTGACCCCAGTTACCCTGATTTGAATGGGGACACAAGTTCAAGATCCTGGCTTTTTCAGGATTCTCACCCTAAGGTCCTTCTGGGGCACAGACAGTGGGCTTATAGGGGGGCTCAACATTTTTGATGGCTGCCCTGGTCACAGTTATTCACTTAAATAAATTTCAAGTCCAGAGTAGGCAAACTGAAAGCACAGAATTTTGACCTTAAATTTGAAATTCACTTTGAATTTTCATTTTATTGAATAAGCCTGTCAGTTATTGACAGAGCGGTGGAGTATTTTTATATCTTATTTATTTTTTTTTACTTTTATTTTGAATTTATGTTTTAACAAATTATTTTACCTATCTCACCTCATTGGTTCATCATGCCACCCCACTGACCTGCCAGTTGTAACGTTGCAAATTATTTTACTTAAACAGTGATAAAATAAGATGGTAAATGTGATCAAATCTCCATCCTGTTTCTCCTTCTTTCCTAAGATCAATCTCCCCAATTACTGAGCAGAACTTGTTTGTGCATTGTCTGTCTTTTGCCCCAGAACATCGTTTCTACCGCCTCCCACTTTAATCAATATCTATCTTCTGCTATTGTTCCATCCATAATGATCTACTAAATCTCTATCTTTTTCTCTCCTATGGTATCTTCTACACCCCATTTCAAAAATGATAATTCAAATAAAACAAAACTCCTCACCTCAATATAACATGCTAAATACATATACTGATCAATGTGTGAAACTACACAATGTGAAAAACTCAATCTGAACCACAACAGCCTATCACAGATAAAACTCCCCTGCATAAAACATTGCAGAGAACTACTAGTATTTGCTGGTGAAGTTTCTTTGCTGAAGTGCTTGATGTGTAAAGAGTGTGTCCTCTTCTTTTATTTTACAAAAAGTGCAACTGTCAATAGAAATTGGCACTTTTGTAAATGTTGTAAAATTTTGTTACACCCCCCTGCCTGTCAATCAGACATCCACTCTTGTTACTTCCTGGTTGTATAGCTCAGTGAAGCTAGATTCAAGAATCAGCAATTGCCCGGAGCACCTGCCTGGCAAACAATGTGAAGTCTGTGATTGGACAGCCATAGAAAGCCTAGTCAGGCTTAGAAGAGAAGGGCTTGTAAAGGTAGCAGACAATAGAATTGCTGGTTTTCCAATATGCCTTTAGATATACTCCCAATGAAATATACATAATTAAATGCAGATGTGTATTCATTGGAAATATATCTACTAAATTGTAAAAAAATAAATTAAAAAAAATACAATATATTTCTATTTGAGTGTTCCTTAGTTATATATAGGAAATCAAACATTTCAGGTGGGCTATTTTGAGAGTTAATTAGAATGGTTATATTGACAGAAGAAGAATTACATGTCTTATTATTTTGTTATGTCTCATAGACATATCAGATAGGTTATATGACATGATAGAGGGTGGTTTAAAAATTAAATAGAGAAAATTTACAAATAGAATGGGATAAAGGGAGCAGTAGCATAGTGCAATGGTAGAATGTTGTGGAGCAATAAAATATGATGAAACTCAAAACACTTGTCTTCTGAACAGTTATTTGCTTTATCCAATGTCCAATGATTTATCCAAAATCGTTTTTTACAACCTTATGAAAACTCTAAATTTGTGCAAAATCATATTTGTGAACAAACTATGTTAACTATTCTTTACTTGATTGTTTTCTAATATAGGAGAGTCATCTTTTTAAACAAATCTGGCACCTAAACAATGAGACATATAGCACAATTGCAATAATACTCAAGAAAGAAAAGTCATACAGTTCAGCTTTTGACATACAAGTTTATTTTGTATCAAAATAGTTATATCTGTTGGTTATATTTTCATTGAATTGCAAAATTTAGGAAACTAACAGTCAAACTGTTACAATAATGGAGTTGGAGATTTTTTCTAAATCAACTATTTTTGACAAAATTTAGAAATTCAGTTGTCAATTCACACAATTTGGCGTTTAGTTAATAAACCTTCAATGGTTTATTTTCAGGGTTAATGAGTATCTTTGGTCAATTATAAGTGAAAGATATGTGCATAGTGCATTTTCACTGTTTGGTTTTTGAATTTTGAGTAGTTTGTTTTTGTTTAGTATTTTTCTTGCCAGAAAATGGCCATACTAGAAAGCACCATTTAAAAGTGATTATTTTCGGTTCAAATGAAATAGCAACAACAGATAGAAAATGAGCAAAAGACACAGTTAAAGCGGCACTGTCACCTCTGCCCTTCCCCCAAAAATGAGTGTTAAGCATATAATTTTTATGAAATACTCATACTAACCGCATTGGACTACTTTGTCTCTGTACATATTATTATTATTATGTTATTATTTATATAGCACAAACAAATTCCGCAGTGCTTTACAGTGGGTGGGCGAACAGACATGTAGTTGTAACCAGACAAGTTGGACATCCAGGAACAGAGGGGTTGAGGGCCCTGCTCAATGAGCTTACATGCTAGAGGGAGTGGGGTAAAGTGGCACAAAAGGTAAGGGTAGTATTAGACTAACGACAGTTGCAAGAGAGGAATTAGTCGGGAGCTATTAACAGTTTAATTGATACGCTTTTATGAAGAAGTGGGTTTTTAATGATCCACAGGAACGGTGCAGCCCTGGAGAAGTCTTGAAAGCAAGCATCAGAGGTGGGAGTACAGACAGAAGATAGACGTTTATTAGTGAGAATAAATAGGTGGGAGCAGCATTCTGTAGAGATTTGAAAGCAAGAACCAGAATTTTAAATTGAGCACTATTTCTTACAGGAAGCAGGGGCGGACTGAGAGCCTTTGGGGCCCCCGGGCAAAATTAGATCCCAGGCCCTTTGAAGGCCAAATATATGTGCATTTTAATAAATGTTAAATATAATTCATAATACGGCATTCCTTTGGATGTGTGTATTGTGAAGACCTGTGTATCAATGCATGTTTGTATTTGAGTCTGTGTGAATGCACTTGTGCATGTCTGGATGACTACATGTGCTTTTTTGTATATAGTGTCTGTGTGAATGCATATGTGACAGGTGACAGAGTGTGTGAGGGAGAAGGTGACAGGTGGAAGAGTGTGGGAGGTTGTGACAGGTGGCAGAGTGAGGGGGTACCTGGTGGCAGAGTGAGGGAGGGGTTGAGTGGTGGCAGAGTGAGGGGGAGACACAGTGAGTGGGGGTGACTGGTGACAGAGTGAGGGAGTGGGTGACTAGTGACAGAGGGAAGGAGAGGGGGAGACTAGTGACAGAGTGAGGGAATGGGTGACTAGTGGCAGAGTGAGGGAGGGAAGGGGTGACTAGTGACAGAGTGAGGGGATGACTGGTGACAGAGTGGGGGGGGGGGTGACTGTCACTAGTCACCCCATCCCTCTCTCTGTCACTAGTTACTCCCTCCCTAACTCTGTCACTAATCACCCCCTCTCTCCCTAGTCACCCCCTTCCTCACTCTGTCACTAGTCACCCCATCCTTCTCTCTGTCACTAGTCACTCCCTCCCTAACTCTGTCATTGTGAAGGAAGGAAGGGGTGACTGGTGACAGAGTGAGGGAAGGGATGACTAGTGGCAGAGTGAGGGAAGGAAGGGATGACTGGTGACAGAGTGAGAGAGGGGGTGACTAATGACAGAGTGAGAGAGGGTGTGACTAGTGACAGAGTGAGAGAGGGGGTGACTAGTGACAGAGTGAGAGAGGGTGACTGTCACTAGTCACCCCATCCCTCTCTCTGTCACTAGTCACTCCCTCCCTAACTCTGTCACTGTGTCACCCCGTCGCTCACTCTGTCACTAGTTACCCCCTCTCTCACTATGTCACTAGTCACCCCCTCTCTCACTATGTCACTAGTCACCCCCTCC